TCCGCGGTTTGTGGGCGTTAAAGTGAGCGTGGCCGGATGCAACTTCGTGGCAAATTGCAGAGGCATCTCTTAAATACGTGTTCCTAAGCAAAATTTGTAGGTCATATAGTTTTCGAGATTTTTTGCATTTTTGGTTTTTCGGGTTTTGTGGGCGTTAAAGTGGGCGTGGCTTGATCGGAAAAAAGAATTCGCATTGGGAGCATCATAAAAACCCACATGCTTAATCCGAACTTTCTATCTCTTATAGTTACTGAGATATCAACTTCTTTAGAAAATCCGAAAACCGTCCTTTTAGCCTTGTAGGCGTATTTGTGGGTGTGGCCGCATAGTAGAACCACTATAAGATGCGCTGGAATCTAAAGATTATACTTTCTGAATTTCAACTTTCTAGCTCCAATAGTTCCTGAGATTTCAGCAATTTTAGTTTTTTTGCAATTTGTGGGCGTTAGAGTGGGAGTGGCAGGAGCTGTAATAAACTTGCGCATTCCCGGGACCTCAAGAATCTTCATGGTTAATCTCAACTTTGTATCTGTTATAGTTCCTGAGATCTCCAGCGTTCATACGGACGGACGGACGGACGGACGGACGGACGGACGGATAGACGGACATGGCTCAATCGACTTCGCTATTGATCCCTGATCAAGAATATATTTACTTTATAGGGTCGCAAACGCTTCCTTCTATCTGTTACATACTTTTCAACGAATCTAGTATACCCTTTTTGTTGCTTAGATTTCTTCTATCGAGGTCATTAGCCCGGCTCATCTTTTCTTTAAACATCTATTGTGCAGCTTATATATTTTATAAAAGAAATTTGCGCACATTATGACAACAATGATTATTAAAAGTACATGTTCCCAATATAAATCAATATTATTCGGTTCTACTTTGTTTATGACATTGGCAGTGGAATCCACTGTTTTTATATCCAAAGTCATTTTTGTAGGTGGTACATATACCTTTATGTTATAATTTGGAATATAATTATTAAAGTTTTCTGTTGAGGATTTGTTTATTGCATTACCTCTCATCTATCTTTACAGGTTTCTTTTGCATAGCTTTACGGGCTAAACGACTAATTGGGCGTAGAAGGTTCCGCTCAATTTTACAATTTATATTGTATTATATAAAAAAAAATATGCATCGCAGTGCAATCAAAAAAAATATGCAACGCAGACGCTCCCTCGAAGGCGCAGGTGGCGCTCGTGCCTCCCACGCTTTGTATCTGCTGCTGTCGGTGGGGCAGCGGTATTTCCTCGGTATTTTCTTAGGTGATGGAGATTTAGTATTTTTTCGTTTATAAATTTTGTAACTGGGTAAGTTGTGACTGGTGTCTTGGGATTTTTTATAATTGACTTCAGAAAGTCAAGTTCACGTTGCAGCTTTACAGCTGTAGCCCATTGCGAGGGTGGTATGTTTGTATATAATAGCCACTTGAAGTGCGCTATTCTTTTTTGTATTTTGTTTTTTATACCAGCCCGCCCCAGCACACTCTACTCACTCAGATTTAATTTTTTTTATATACACTCATGGAAAAAATAATAGGTGTGTTTTTTTTTTCATTTTTAACTTTTTATTTCTAAGTCATGCTTTCTCCAATCAGCTCAAAACAAAGTTTTTTTAAAGCTTATATTAATTGTCTTTAAAAGAAAAAAAGAAACAATACTATAAACCTTTTCATTAACAACAGAAGTAGATTTTTTCCTAAGTTGGACATTTTTGGCTGGACACAATAATAGGTGTAACGAACTAAACGTTATTTTAAAGATTGCGGGATCGCAGCAGACACACGCCATAACACCTCTTTTTCAACTTCGAGCTCTCCCGGTCGATCCTTTGACAGCCTCGTGGTATCCCAAGTCCAGCGTGAATGAGTAACGTTAATATCCTCGTGCACAAAATATTATATATTTATTGTCCAGATTTCTGGATTCCTTCTGCTTCTTCCTCTTGTTATGCTGGTTTTTCTTGATGGCTTCAGGGGTCGGCGAACTAGAGTTTATAGAAGGCATCATGGACAAAAAATATTATTTAGATATTTAAAAAAGAGTGCCGAAAAGTTGAACTTGCCACCATCATTCTCATTTCAGCATGATAATGACCCAAAGCTCTGCCGCATCCTTCTCAATCACCAGACCTTAATCCCATTGAGCATTTGTGGGAAGAGCTGGCCAGGCGCGTTAAAAAACGCGCAATAAAAACAAAAGCTGAGCTGAAGGTGGCTCTAATAGAAGAGGGGCAGAAACAACCCAAAATTTCGTTTCTTCGATGCCAAGACGGTTGGAAGCCTTTATAAAACAAAATGGCTTACCCACAAAGTATTGATTTGAGTTATTTTCATTTATTTTTTAGTTTTTCAATAAGTGTGCCAATAATTTTGTTCAGGCAAATTCACGTCTTATTTATGTTATTTAATTTTTAAAAATCAACCATTGAAGGTAATAAGCACTACATATTGGCGTGGCCGCTATAAGTATCATGTTGTGTTAAGCTTTAAGTCAAAAATTGAACTCAGTTCACTTCATGCTCTGTAACAATAAAGAACAAAAGTTCTCCTCATCTACAAAGATGAAAGAACAGCCATCTGGCTAAGACAGCTGAGAGGGGTCCCCAACTTCTACGTTAGAAGACGTAGCTAAAACAACCTCCTCTTTCCGCACCCACGGGCGGATACCACCTGTGGCTGCTCTTCGCTGTCACCTCACACCAACAGGCGCGGCTAGCGGTGATCATTTCCCCCGCACAGCAGTCGAACCTGGCAATTGGCTGTTGTTTGCAGTTATTTCACAAGTACAGGCGCTAATAGCGACAACCACTTCCCCCGCACCAAAGAATGGCCAATATCGAAGAAGACCACCCTTCAACCAGTGCGGTTGAGGAAGACCACCCCAGGCCGCACCCATCATAAGTATAAACAACAAAACTCCAATCGGCTTCTGGAGAACTTTATATTTTTTGGTTATACAAATTTTTTTTTTTGAGAAAGGAATCACACACACAATAAATAAATAAAATTTCTACGCAACGGTATATATATTTTGCTACCCTTAAATTAACTAAGCAAACTATATTCATTGCCCCGTTCGGTATTGTGAAAGAATACGACCCCACATTTTGGCAGCTCTGTGTTCCCATTTTTTAATTTTTTCTGTACGTTTATCTGCATATGAGCTCACCATTTTCTCAAATAAGGAGCGTCAAGCAGTACGATAGTGATTCAGGAGTCAGAAAGCGAAGAGCTCATTCGAGCTTAAAATCGCTGAGATCTGTTAGAGCTATAAAGTTGAAATTCAGTATATATAATTTTTTATGCCAGCACATCTTCTGGTGGCCACACCCACCCATACACCCACCAAGATCAAATGACGGTTTTCGCATTTTCTAGAAGAGCTGATATCTCGGTAACTATAAGAGATAGAAAGTTCGGATAAAGCATGTAGGTTTTTATGATGCCCCTTATGCGAATTTTGGTTCCCGATCAAGCCACGCCCACCTTAACGCCCACAAAACCCGGAAAACGAAAAATAAAAAACTCTCGGGACCTATAAGAGCTAAAATTTAAAAAAAAATATGCTAAAAAACAAGCTACACCAAAATGTGGGTGGCAATAGTCATTCCGGGTTATTTCTACGATTAAGTCCTTAAATTTCCATTGAAAGGGCTGCTTCATGCTCCTGTGTTTTGTAACATTTTGCAGGGAAACTTATTTTCTGAGATTGTGCAATTGACCCCATTCTAGCACGTGCTTCTTTGTTGCCGCTTGCTGCCTTTTTTCAAAGATTTTTGCTGTAATTGTTGACTTACAATAGGAGCTCTTGTATAATCTCCTGGCAGTTTTCGTAACCACGAACTCACTACTTTGAAGCCAAGCATCGCGAAAAATTTGTTTATATTGGACTTTCGGCATTTTACCACTCGCTCTATTAAAGTTCAAAACTCCAAGTGATTGCTGGCAAAACTTTAGCCAACATATCGATCTTCCATGGCACTATCGATTAGAAATATATTCACGATAATATGAAACGCACATAACCATCGGCAAAAAAAGAACAAGCTCCGATATTTTCATGCCATAAAGCATATTTTTCTTAAGAAACAACGCGTTAATGACGTAAATGAATTTAAAGCTAGAATATGCTAGATGAATTTTAAAATAAGCTATATTTCAAGCTATAAGCTAGATCGATATCTTTCAAGCTTTTCCAGTTCAAAATATGCTAGAACTAGCTTATAATAAGCTAAACTGGCAACACTGAAGCGGGCACACCGCACAAAGGGATTTTCGGGAACGGTCACACTAACTCCAGCCACGGGGTATATAAGGAGGACCCGTGTCTTAATAAAAGTCACTTTTGCAGTCGATCTCGATCAAGTAAGGTCAGCCTTTTCTCGCAGTTGGGCACCCTCACCAGTAGAGGTGGAGAAACATCGATGTTCACGGACATCGATGATTCCGATGTTTTTGGCGAAAACATCGATGAAACATCGATGTTTTAAATAAAAAAAAATAGCAGTTATATTAGTGTATTTGAACTTTATTTTCATTTGTAATGTTTAAAAATTAAAAGTCAAATTTTCAACAAAAAATATCCATTTTATTTATCACTTATTAAATAAAAAAGAAAACGAAAAACAAATTAAAATAAAACTGTTCATGAATATCAATGTTCCACTTCTTTGGTATGTTGTCCTATCCTTAATTTTTAAATAAGAAACTATAAACAAAAACAAATTAAATAGCAATGTTTCAATATATACATGGTACAAAGAAAATAAAAGTTCTATAGGATATTGTGCTCTCCCTACTATACTATTGCTTATTTTACTATCCTTACTTGCTATCCCTATTGACTATCCTTACTTACTACACCTACTTTACTATCCTTACTTACTATCTCGAACTCTACTATATATATTTACATATTATTTACATGTTTGTTTTTGTTTAAAAACAGAAGCTTATCGACAACGGTCGATGAAAGCCGCGTGCGACGCTCACTTATAACTTGCCCAGCTTTACTAAAAACTCTTTCCGATTCGCACGAAGATGCGGGAACGCAGAAGTATTTTTTTGCTAACGTTTTAAACGCGTCGCCATCAGTAGTAATCTAAAATATAATTAATACAATTAATTGGAAAAAGTATGTTATTGCATAATTTCTTACCTGCCAGTACGCAAGAGGGTCACATTCTTCCGGCTGGTTTTCCTTTTCAAAATGCTGTCTCATCAGGATAATGGCATCTGCCCATGAAGAGTGCACCCTGTTTTGGGTTTTGATTTGAAGAAATGAGAATCGGCTTGTTTCCTGTGTTGGTGGTGTTGGCGGATGTAGTGGGTTTGCAGGCAGTTTTGTGAACAGTTCATGCTGCACAGCTTTGGCCCCTTCCTCCGCATTAAAGGGAATCAAAAATCCCTGCTTTTTAAAGCGGGGATCTAGTATGGTGGCAATTCGTGGTATTGAGCGTGTTTCATAACTTGAAAGCCTCTTGGTAAGACTACCCTTGATGGCCGTCAATATGGTTTTGCCTTGTTCTGTGCTGACTATAAGATTATTTATTTTGTGATGCAGTTCGCATATGACTGGGATTATGATAGACGCTGATACTTTTGTGTTCGTTGACACAGAAAGCGTCGCCTCTTCGAAGGGGGATAGCATCTCGGATATATCGTTCAAAATATCCACTTCTGCTGCTGAAAACGGCGATGGAGCGCCACGAGATGATACCAAAGCTAAAGTTATAAATTCATTGGTTTTTAGTATGCGCTTCATCATTTCGTAGGCGCTGTTCCATCGTGTGGGCATTTCTTGCAGAAGAGAATGCGGATTTTCCCCCTGTGCTTCCTTGAATTTTGATGATGCGATCTGGCTTCTCTTGAAAAAGCCAACTACCGACTTACATTTTGTGAGAATTACGTCGAAATCGGGCAATTTTAGAACATCTTGCACAATAAGGTTGATTGTGTGCGCTACGCAAGGCAAGTGCTTATATTCAAGCAACTCACATGCCTTAAGGATCGTTGCATCATTATCAGTCACAACACAAACAACCTTATTCGTGACACCCCAATCATCAAGCACGCCCTTTAATGTTTCAGATATGTTAGTAGCATTGTGATTGGTAGTGTCAAGAAGCTGCCTTGTTGCTAAAATTGAGTCACCAGCATTAGTCAATTTGGTCGGATTTAGCCTAGTGTTAAATCTAATTCATCCTACTCAGTGCTGCCAACTTTTGAAAAAAAAAATAAGGTGCTACTTCATTGAAAGGATTTTGGTTCCCAGCGTCCTTATAATTCAGGACTTCAGTCCAAAATTTGATGTTGTCATCCACACATTCCCATTTAATAAAATTAATTTTATCCATTTGGATTTTAATGTTGTCAATGTCTTGACATTCAAAATATTGTAAGACGTCGAGAATATCTTCAGAATAAAAGGGTCTTAGCATATTTTGAACAGAAAACAATTTGACGTGTTGCATTATTTTAATGTTTTCTGGCAATCTAAAAATACTGAGATCAAGGTCATTATACTACCTTTCTCGAAGTTGGATTATTAACTTAATTATAAAGTCCATACCAATTGTTCTAATTTCCATCTAGTGTGATTGAAAATTAAGTTTTTTAATCTTTTTTTTTTCTAATTTTTTTTTAAATCTTTTTTTCAAGGCATACCTAAATATATGTTTGCATCAGCTTTTTTTAAAGTCATCCTTTTAAACATTGATTTCGCAATCAGGTGGTATAATTTTCACTTTCAAAGAGGTTGATTGGCCATTATGACATCGGAATATAGTTGGGTTGGATGTTATTCTACTTTGAAAGATTTATTGAGTCTTGCATCTCCTTTTTAATATAGGCCTCAAAAATAATAAATAAAGAGGTAATATATCATCTTTATAGAGGCCAGTTGAGGATATGTGACTTATGACACTTCTCAAAAGTGGCTGCTAACACAGTGGAGTTTTTAGTTCTGTCCACTGGTCCGCGATTCGGGAACCTGCATTCTCAATGGACAGCCATCTTGTGTCGCACACTTTGTTATTTTCAAAAAGGATTCTAAATAATAATAAAAAAAAAGTTGATTAAATTTTTTATACAGAAAATGTTTTGCAAATAACATTTAACTGTAAACACCAAAAGAAAGCTTCATCACATATATATACGTTAGTAAATTAATAGCAGACGATCACAATTGACTATTATTTTTGTTAATACATGCTGTTCATATGCACACATACCTGTTCATCATTTAAACATTGATACAGTTTTTTGTATTGTATTTGGCGACTAGTTTTAGCAGTCCGGCATAACTTCGTGCAAGCCTTTGTTACTGCCAGTTGAATTAAGTGGCTTACGCATTTTAGAGCTTGAGAGACCTTTTTTTTATTTTACATATTATTTACATTTTTTTTTTTTCGTCGAATCGTTCAGGCATTTGAACATAACCGGGCGCGTTTATCGAAATTAGTTATGGTACTATGGGTAGTGTACCTAGAGAGTATATGTACAAATATTTACAAAACTAAAATAAAAAACTATTTACAAAATATTACAAGTTTAAGAATTGCGGGATGCAAGCTGCTGGGGTGGGAATCTACTAAGCTCTCAAGTAGATTTTGGGTCGACAATCCGCTGTAGCCAGAGGATTTGGGTGACCATGCCTGTCCGAGCATCGGGCTTGTGTTGGTTTAAGAGATCGCCCATGGGAACAGCCGTAAGTCGTTCTGGGATGGCCTGCTGGTTATTGTACACGGAAGCCTCGGAAGCGAGCTTGAGAGACGGCATATTTTTTCAATTCGGTGTAAAACACTTTTTTTGAGCCAGTCATAACATTTCGTATATGAGGAGCAATTTGTTGAAACTGCACCTCTTAAATTTTTTCTCAAACACATATCCCAAATATAAATGATTACTTGACATATCCCGGATTTCATCCTTTTTGAAAATGTCTATTTCAACATCTGGCTGGTGGTTACTAATTCATTGAGTAACTTTGAAGATTTCGACCGTTCGCTTTGAAATATTTTGTTAAGCTGTTGCATGTCGCTCAAAATTGGATTTAAAATAGCAAATAAAGCCAATTTACGTCATAGAAATAAAGGTAGTGTATTATTTTTAGCATTGTAAAATTTTCTTTCAGTTTGCTAAAGCAAAATATATTTTTAGTTCTGACCACTGATGTAAAATTTGCGATACGCAAGTTCAATTGAAAAGCCTTCTTGTATCGTAAACTATGGGTATTTTTAGAGGAGTTTTAAAGAATTGAAGTAGTCATTCAGAATAACCAATTAATTTTATACCAAATAGTTCAGGAGTTAAAAATCAAACAACAACAATGAGTCTACTAGACACCACGTATAACAAACACAGGGATTAGGTGTTAAATCCTTTAGCATTGGCCAAACACAATTTACAAATTTACTGCACACGAAGATACACATGCCAGAAAAAGTATGCGTACAAACTCGATGCCTAACTTTGATCGCTAAAAAAACATATATATATAATTGATATCGACTTAATTTTTTTTTTATATTGTTAACACATTTATTGATTATAAATATATTTAGTTTTTATTAACATAACACCTTAACTTTATTTATTAAAATTAAAAACGAAAAAAGTGACGAATTTTTTAGCCAGAAAAATATGCGTACAAACTTCAAAGTTGCTTAAAAATGGTACTTAATTCTAATTTTTAATAAGAAGTGGGGTACCCCTTTCGTTTGATAGCTTCCTCCAAACGTTTTGGCATTGATTGCTTGCCAATTTTTCAGTCACCGATGGGAAATATTCAAGCCATTCTTCCATAATGACGTCCTTCAGCATAGCCTTCGATGTTATGGTTCGAAGGCGGATCCTGCGTCTCCAAATGATCCCATAGATGCTCTATGGGATTCAAATCTGGCGACTGAGGTGGCGAGTGCAACTGGTTTTTGGTGTTATAGAGCAACCATAGCTTTACATTGTGGGCTGTATGCTTCGGGTCATTATCTTGCTGGAACCAAAAGTCCTCAGCTAACCCTAATTTTCTGGCGCTTTCGTGCAAATTATCTTTTAAAATTTGCAGATAAGCCTTGTGGTCCATGATCGACTCGATAAACACCAGATTTCCTACTCCACTTGCCGCCATACACCCCCATACCATCACACCGCCGCCACCATGCTTTACAGTCGGCGACTTTTCATATTAACAAATAAACCACTTTAACGTGCAGGAAAACTTCCTGTTTTATTTTAAAGAAAAGTAGCTCAATATTAGACCCAAAGTCGAGTAAACCAATAATAAAGAAACAACAATGCAGTAAATCGTAACTAGTTAATATCTGGGGAAATACTCCCTAGAGGAGTAGAATCATCGATGTTTTTGGCGAAAATATCAATGTTTTAAAATATAAAAAAATAGCAGGTATTTTAGTAGTGTATTTGTCCTTTATTTTAATTTGTAGTGTTTAAAAATTAAAAGTCACATTTTCAACAAAAAAATATCCATTTTATTAATCACTTATTAAATAAAAAAGAAAACAAAAGACAAATTAAAATAAAACTGATCATGATATTCATGTTCCACTTCTTTGGTATATTGTCCTGTCCTTAGTTTGTAAATAAAAACTAAAAAAAACAAATTTAATATGAATGTTTCAATATATACATGGTCCTAAGAAAATAATAGGTCTTTAGGATATTGTGCTATCCCTACTACACTAGTGCTTATTCTACTATCCTTACTAGAAGGTAGCGATAGTAATCCCTACTGTACTATCCTTACTTACTATCTACTTTACTATCATTACTTACCATCCCGAACTGTAATATATATATTTACATATTATTTATGTTTGTTTGTTTGTTTGTTTTTATTAATGTGTATTCCCGTATAAGTAAAAGACGTCCGGCTAGTTGAGTAGATACATATGGAATGAACTTTATTCGATACTTTTGGTGACTGCAGTTGGTACTATCGATATAAACTAAATAGCTAGAGATTACAATGCAATGACAGTTTCAATACCCTTCCTCAATGTAAGCTCACATTAAATATTTCAATACAAACTTAATTTCTTTGTAAGCTCACAATGCTTTTGTTTTTGAAGATTCTTCGTTAATATATCTGCAATCATCTCTTTAGTTGAAAGATACTTTAAATTAATCTGACCTTCCTTAACAACATCTCTTACAAAGTGGTACCTAATATCTATGTGTTTCGATCTTGAATGATGTACAGGATTCTTTGCCAACTGCTGCGCGCTTAAATTGTCAGTATTCATTATTGTCGATGTTCCAGGTTCTCCGCAACCGATTTCCAATATAAGTCGTCTCAATGAAATCGCCTCCTTGCATGCGGATGATAATGCCATGTATTCTGCTTCCGTACTGCTGAGAGCTACACTGCGTTGCTTTTCTGATTTCCACGAAATAGGTCCTCCTGCCAGATAGAATAGGTAACCTGTGTATGACTTTCTATCAGTTTTGTCTCCCTCCCCAGTCAGCGTCCACGTAACCAGTCAAAGGCTCATTACTAATTTTGTAATGCAATTTTAGGTCTTTTGTTGATGCCAAATATCTCAAGACGTGTTTTACTCCCTGTCCAATGCTCACTGTGGGGATCCTTGTTGCGCTGCGCCAATTTAGATACTGAATGTAAAATATCTGGCCTTGATGATAGTGCCAGCCACATGAGTTCACCTATGACCGCTTGATACGCCTGCTCGTTGACTGTTTCGCATCCCTCTTTCTCGCATGTTATTTGGAATCCTGCATCCAGTGGAGTTGCAGCTACTCTACATTCCTTAATTCCGTGCCGCTGAAGCAGATTCTCAATATAGAGGGTCTGACTTAACTTTATCTCGCCCAGTTCGCCATCGCGATGTACTTCCAATCCAAGAAACATGTGCAACTGTCCGTGATCAACGCATTCAAACGATTGGGCGATTTTGCTTTTTATGCCGATGAGATCCTTTTTATCTTGACAGGCTATGATCAGGTCGTCTACGTATACAAGAATAAGTGCAAGATGCTGTCCACTTGTGTTTATGTATAGACATGGCTCGTTTGCACATGCATTAAAACCAATACTACGCAGAACTCCATCTAATTTACAGTTCCACTCTCTGCCAGACTGTTTTAGGCCGTAAATTGCCTTCTTTAACAACAACACACCGTCCGCGTGATCTTTTGGCTACAAATCCGTTTGGTTGTTTCATGTACACGGTATCTGTTAAATCGCTATTCAGATAAGCGGTACAGACATCCATCTGGTGCAAATATAATTTTAACTGTGCAGCCAGGGCAAGTATGAAACGAATGCTTTCCATCCGACACACAGGTGAAAAAGTTTCAGCATAGTTAATTCCATACTGTTGTGAACAGCCTTTGGCTACTAGACGTGCCTTATACCGCTGCACTTGCCCGTTGGCATCCCTCTTCACAGTAAAAATCCATTTGCATCCTATGGCGCGTTCTGTCCTAGGAAGATCCACTATCTGCCATGTATGGTTGTTTATAAGAGCCTCGTACTCTCGATTCATCGCATCCAACCATAATATCGAATCAGGACACCTAATTGCTTCTTCGTAGCTTTCCGGAACAAATACGTCGCTGCCAATTGCCGCTCCTAAGACATTGTACTGCTTTCGCGGGCGTCCAGGTTTGCCCGTGCGAATCAGTTTAGGTCTGCCAGGACCCACTCGTTTTCCGTCTTGTGCGTTGTGCTCACCTCCTTCGGTGTTCTCATCTTGCGCACTATCCACCTCCTCTGCGCTGATGAACTCGTCACTGCTGCGATCATTTTTTATGCCGCCGTTGTCTTGGTCGTATGAGCTTTCGTCGTCCGAACTGGCGTATTCCTGCAAACCGGGGTTGACCTTGCCATCTGAGCTTACATCATCGCTGCAGTTGTCCCTCTTATCCTCCAATTGATCGTCTGAAACCTCACTGGCTTGGGGTAGGTCAAACGATACGAATCCGGCATCCTTCGCCAGGTTATCAGCTCGCTCGTCGAAAAGTACGTCCCTCTTTTCGATAACTTGTCCTGAGCTCGGGTCGTAAAGCCTATACCCTTTGGCTGTTCGAGAATAGCCGACCATTCGGTATTCTTTTCCCTTTTGCTGGAATTTACTTCGTGCGTGGCCTTTTATCAAGTGCTACTGCGAAAGAACCAAATACTTTAAAATGAGATATTGATGGTTTTTTACCGTTCCACGCTTCCATCGGCGTCATATCTCGCAGCGCGTTCGTAGGCGCTCT